ATACATTTTTTGTTATCAGTTTCATTAATTATATTATTTATTTTTTCTATAATTTCTTTTTGTTCTGCATTCATTTTAAAAATTAAATTTTGTGCTAAAATATATTCTTCTTTTGGATCATAAACTTCATTTTCATCAAAATTAATTAAATTGTTTTGAGGCATATCACTAAAATCTTTTAGTGATTTTTCATGATCTTTTAATCCTTGATCAATTAAGTAAAGGCATATATTAAAAAGTTCATCTTTAGATAAATTGGGATATTTTCTTATTAAATCATTTGTTAAATACTCTTTAAAAGATTCCCACAATTTTCCTGGATATTTTGGCTCACAATGTATTAAAATATTTACAAACAATGTTCTCAATCCTTGTGGGTGTTTTCTTGAAAAAAAACTTGCTTCTTCTAAACATTTATACCATTCATCATCATCTTTTGTTAATCCTCTAGCTAAACATGATTTAGCAAAAGTATCATATATAACACCATTTACTGTTCTTAAATCCTCAAAACTTCTTCCCGGAACATTGAACAATAAATATCGTAAATAATATTTTTCAGTTTCTATAGGGTTAACTGGTATGATTCTACCTATTTTTTTGCAATTTACTTTTCTTGGATATCTCCATTCCCGAGTATTTTTTAACCAAGTGCAATATTTAGGCATATCAATATATTTTATATTTAAATTCTGGTTTTTTTGGCAAAATTTAAAGTAAGCTGTTAACGTAGAATCTTTTTTTGCTGCATTTTTAATTTCGTTTTCGGAAGCATTTTTTCCATAAATGACTTTTTGCATATTTTCTAGATGTATATCCAATTTATCTACGGCATGTGATTTGCCTTGTAACGGAAATTTAAAAATGCGCCAGCATGCTTCACATGGACTTAAATATCTGGCTTCTAAATATTTACTAACTTCGTCATAATTTAAAACTTTTTTAGTACCATCGTCGCCGACTTGAACGCATTCAATTGTTGCTGCGTCATATCCTTTATATTATCAATTTCTTTTGAATTATGCCACTTATCTTTTGCACTTAACGTTATTAATAAATGCAGATGGGGGAGCCCTCTCTTTTGATATTCAATTACCCAACAAAACCCTATAACTTCACCAAATATTTGCTTATTCAGGATTAAATTTAATAGATAATTTTTTTTCAAATTAAAAACTCTTGTCACAATATCCGGCCTGTCTGATGCAGTTTGTCCTGGAAATAAACATTTTAATATATCAGGATCATTTGGATTACACGTAAAAGTAATAAATAAATCCGGTTTTCCTGTTTCATTAACAATGGACATAGCATCCATAAAATGTTCATGCATGCTTCGAGGACCTCCAGTAAATGTTGAAGGAAGAATAACCTTTTTTTGAATCTCAGCACCACTTTTCATAGCTTTCGTTTTCAAAAAATCTTCTACGTTTACATAGCTACTGCTACACAATTCATTTTGATGGGTTCTAATATATTCTAATCTGTTCCATTCTATTCTTGCTGCTTGGTCAACAACCCATTGCTGAAACAATTTTTGAGCAAAAAAATGAGGCACAAATTTTTCATTATCTCTTACAAACAAAAAAAATTTTACAAAATCACATAGAGAAATATTTTTTCCTTTAACATCTTTTATATTAAATGAAAATCTAAAAGACGATTTTGGATATAATAAAGGATAACTCATTGGTTCAACACATTTATCCAATGGATAAATATTTTTCAATTTCTTTTCACCTTTCGGGTAAACGACAATATTAGCAAGTGGGAAATCATCATTTGCATCACAAACCAGAATAGCACATACCTCATTACTTTGCGGAATATTGTATCGCCTTTTATCAAAATTTTCCTTTAGACTAAAAAGCAATCTTACTTCGGGCATGCTTATCCCTTGCTCTTTACAAATTTTTTCTTGCTTTTCGTATACATCTTTCATTAGTTGAAAGGAATTTACGAACTTATTATTTTCTCTAATATACTTTTCGATATAATTTATTATATTTGGATCACATTCTCTATTAATTTTTTCTCTAATATCTGAAGCTTCCTCGGAATCTAAAAAATATAATTGACCATTTGTTGGAATTTCATCTTTATTAGCAGGCATTGCAAATTGGTTAAATTTATGATATATCTGGCCTTGAATTTTATAGCAAGGCGGGCCAGGTGTTGGAAATTTAAATTTAAAACAGCTTAAAGATGCAAATGCAAACATATTATTGTATCGGCGTATATTTGAAATAAAATTTTTATTAAAAGGATTTTCACGACTAAAAAGTGCTTTTAGTTCTTCAGGATAATCTTCAAAAAAATCGTCCAACTTATTAAGTTTACCTTTTTTGCAACAACTCTCAAATTCAAATGTATCTTTATTTAATTCTTCTTTTGCTTCTTCCGGAAAATGCAATGATTCGCATTTTAAACATTTAATGTTAAATTGACCTAGTTCATAAAATTTTCCCAGACCAGAATCTGAAGCCGCGAAGTGTTTCAAATTTTGATTATTTAAAAGATTTTTTCTAATAGCATGACTTAAACGATTTTTTTCGCGTTCAATTTCATTTTCTTCGGCTGTCATATTAACTCTATGTTTTTCTACTCTATTAACTGTTTTTAATATTTTACAATCATTATTAAAAAAATCGTCACTAACATTATCTAAATTTATTGTTTGACAAATAGATTCATAAGTTCTTTTTAAATTATTTTTAGACCGCTTTTTAAGACCGGAGCTTATAACCGGTTCAACCGCTTTTTTTATCGGGAGCTTTGAACCCGACTGACTGTTGTTTATAGGCGAACTTAAATCAAATATTTGCTGACAAAAAGAACTTTCCGAATTAGATTTTTGAAAAGTTTGTTTTATACGGACCATAATAAAATTTTTTGCTTCTAAAATTAAATATATTAAAATATTATTTTTAAGCAAAGCTAGATTTTAATTAAAAAATTATTAAAATACTATTTTTACGACGGCTAGTATTTAAGAGTAATTTTATTTCAAAATTTGTTTTTTTACTCTTTCAAAATACTATGTAGTATTGCGCCTTTTGTTTTAAGTTGTTTGGTCTTCTTGCGGCAGTCTGGTTGTTTTTTGTTTACGTCTACTTTGCCATAAAAAATTAGTGAAAAAACAAACTCCCTCTTATTTACTTTTTGAAAAATTTTCAAACAAATTCCATAATGGTTATAGAAATAAAGTAAAAAAGCATGAACCCTCGGTATATCACCCAAACACACAAATCAACCAAATCCCTCCAAAGCACTTGATCACTACCAAATTCCAGAAAAACCCCCAAACTCCTGATATATTTTTTATAAATCTTTTTTAATCCCACCAAATCCCCCGATATCCTCAAAACACCCTTTAAATACTTTCGAACTCAAAACGTGTTATATAACAGTTTCATATTTGCGACTAAGTGTCAGCGAATAATTTTTTAAAAATAGCCTGCCTGCGTCTTAATGGCAGATGGCTGGTTTTATTTGTTTACTGTAAAATAAAATCTGAAAAAGTTAGAGAAAAACAACTTTATCTCTAATATTTTTAAAGAGAAAAATTTTCGTGTCGAAACAAACTTTGTTTTTCTTTTTAAAAAGTGCAAAAAAGCGTTACGGAAAATGCGTTTTAGTATAGTGAATTCAAGTTGCATAAACCGTTATCTCGATAACCGAGAACTCTAATTCATATTTCTTTATACCTCAATTTTATTCTATTTCCTTTGACATATAATCAATCAGTATCTTTTTTACTATTTTTAAACTAAATAAGGAAATATAGAAGGGTACGGTCTGATTTTTATAAAATTTAAGTGAGAAAAACAGGGCAACAAATTTGAAGATAAGCAATCTCTATAATATGACATACCTCCCACATCCGACTCTTTCGTATGTATGTTAGCGGTCCCAAGAAGTGAAATACTAAATAAATCCACTGTATAAGTCAAATGTTTAAATTTGCGTTTATTTTTACTGGCTTAAGAAAATTATTTTAAGATTAGTTAGTAGCGATCATGATTTTTTATTCATTTTAATTTGATAGGAAAGAGGAGAAAAATTTGGGAAGACAAATAATTTATCTATTTCTTTTATAAAAAGTTATTTTTTAATTTTAGAAATTTCAAAATGAAATTGAAGAAAAATCTGCTGAGCTTAAATTCGAAATAAAAAAGTGTAAAATTGCTTATTTTAAAAATGCTAATTTGGTTGCAAAAAATTCAAAATTGTTTAAACAATTTAAAATAATCAAAGCTAGAAATAAAAATGTAAAAAATCTTGGATTTTTAATGGGTCAATTAAAGTTGAAAAATAAAAAACTTTGTAAAGATGTGGAGGAAAAGGATGAGAAAATAAAATTATTTGAAGAAAACATAAAAAAGGTATCAAAATTATAAGATTTATTTTTAATTTAATTAATTTTAAAGTTAATTGAAGTAAATAGAGTTTTCTTCGAGAGAATTTTTCAATTAAATTTGAAAAAAAATCTTGCCAAAGAAGTTAAGGAAAAAGGACAAAAAATTCGTTCAATTACTGTTCAGCTACAAGAGGTCAATTTTTAAATAAAAAATTTTTTTTAAATATTCAACCTTTTAAATCAATTTTAATACTACTGACACATTATTGGGCAAAATTACCAAAATAATTTTAGGTTCACTTCAGTTATGAAAGTCCGCAAATTTTGTCCGCAATTCTAATTTTCTTAATTAAGAGACTCCTATATGATTTCTGTAGGGGAGCCTATAATTATGTGAGGGAATTTTTAAATGAAAATTAAAATTGAGTAATTGATACAAAATTAAATCCTCCCCGATTGGTCTGTTTCTATTGACTCGGAAATTTTGACTTGCGGATAAAACTTGTCAACTGATTTTCGATATTTTCCGGTATTTCGGATGTGAATTTAAATAAATAGATCCAAAAAATTAAAAAAAGTTACTTATCGGCTATCATTAATACTGAAAAATAATCTTTTCTTTGTTAATGCCCTCAATGAATGATGCCAAGGGAAAATGAGTAAAATTGAGGATGGAAGGACTGACCATTCATAGATAAATTAGGGATAACTGATAAATACCTAAAAAATAACAAGTAAAAAATAATATTTTGAAAGGCAAATCAAAAAAATCAGAGCCTTATGGAAGATATTGATCAATTAAAGTTGGAAAAAAGAAATCTTATTAAAGACTTTAAAGAAAAAATTCATGTAATTAATGACCAACTAAAAGAGGTTAAAAATTAAATTTAAACTATAATTTAAGTAAAAAAATATTTTAAAAGGTGAATACTTCAAGTAACAAAAAAATTAATTTAATTCAAAACAAAGTTGCTGAACTAAGTGACTTGGTGAATTATTTGGACAAATTACAAAATGAAACTGACAAACCTGTGGTTTGTTTATTTTTTGTTCAAAAAATTTTTTTCTCTCAGCATTTTGTAAAACTTGACAATAAATTAACCTCCATTTCAACTGTCAAAACTTGCTGTAAAAATACTTGTATTAATTCTAATGTATCAGAAGGGACTTGCATTAATAATAAAGGATTTGTTCGTATTGTTGATTATTTAAAAGTAGAGTATCATTCTGTTGAGGGGAAAGGTTAGAAAATCAGAAAATTTAAGTGGAAATTAAAATTTAAAAACTATTAAGAAAATAATAAAAAGATTATTGTGTTTGCACAACGTCCATTTAATAAACCAACAAATAATAGTGATCAACATTTGTTTTATTTTGAAATTCAAATTCTTGAGAAAGCAGAGAATCAAAAGTAAGTAAAGGCACACATGATTAGTTTTGGCGGTTCCGGTTATCCGGAAGCGAAAAAAGACCGGATAACCGAAAATTTCGGTTCGGTTCCTAAAATGGGACAAATATGTCTCCTTGGCCTTCCAAAAAAGGCGAAAATTTGTATTTACAACCTAAAGAGAATTAGACTGATTTGGGTGTTATATCGAGGGATCAAGAAGGGTGGACATTTAAAGTGGAAAACCGAAGTATTTGCAGTATAGAAGGATATTAGTTTTACATGGATTAAGGCCACTCAATCCTCATAAATCGCTAGATACATAACATTTAATTTTGAAATCTGTCAATTCCTCTGTAAGTTGCGCAGGGTCAACGTTCCCGCTCTTCAAACCATTTTAATTGAAAAAACTGACTGGGGAGGTGTAACGACATACATAGGTGCTTTAAAAACTTTGATTTTTATTTAAATTACTACGATATTTTAATTTTAATTAAAACAATTTAAAGTTGTTATGTTGGAATTGGACTTGCTTATAACGGCAGTTACACTCGTGTAGTTGGTTCTAATGTTGGAGATATTTATGGGTGTGCACTTGTTTTTCCGACAATTAATGAATTGAAGAAGCTTCCTTTTTATTTTTGTACACAAAATGGAAATCGAATTAATGGTGAGCTCAAAAAAACATTTAGGGGTTAATTTAGGGCAGCTCCCCGAGCCTCTGAGGGCGGTAATGTCGTGGATCGGAGTTTGCCGGGAAGAGCATGTCTGGTTTCGTGTCGGGGTTTTGGGGGAGGGAGCTACCTTAGCTTAATAGTTAAATTTCGCTATTTAAAAATAAATTAATCTTTTAAATTTAGGCAACACTTATTTACTTAAAGAGGATGGAGACTCTTTTCGTCCATTTATTAAACTTCGTTCCTGTTCTGTTGAAATTAATTTTGGAAATGATCTTGAGAATAAGCCTTTCTGTTACGATATTACTAAAAATATTTAAATGAATTTTTTATTCCAAGTAAAGTAGTTCACTACAGATTTAGAACAGAAAATTTTATCGAAAATTTAAATTCTAATTGAAAAATAAGTGCTTTTTAAAAATTTTCCCCCAAACAAACCTATTATTCAGTAAAAACCGTAACCGAAAACCAGATTTAAAATATAAAATTTAAAGGTGTTAAATAACTAGTTGTGAATTATTTTTTTAAGTTTCAATTTTATATTCTTTTCTAATTTCCTTAAATTTTTCTTTATTCAATTTTTTGAATTCCCAAATATATTCTTTATTTTTCTTCAATTTACTTTTAATTTTTTTTTAATTATTGTATTACTCTCAATTTATTCTCCTTTTTGTTTGTTTTTTTGCCTTTTTGTGCTTATTACTTTTTAAAGTTTATTATTCCAGTTTTGCATTTTTAATTTTTACTATGTAAAATTTGCATAAAGTGAAAGGTTATCCAATGAAAGTTTATGAGTTCATGAATTCATCCTTCGACATATCTTGCTTTTCATTTTTTACTCTCATTTTTCTCTCTTCCTTTATCTTTTTTAATTTCCTTCTTCCGCTCCTCCTTTTCCTCCAGTTTCCCATTAACTTCTTCCTTCTCTTCTTCATTATCCTTCTCTTCATTAATTTCTTCAATCTTAGTACTAACTTCTTCCGGTATACTTGTAGTCATTTCATCATTTTTATTTTCTTTCTCTTCTTTGCCTTCATCAATCGAATGGGTAGTCCATCCAAATAGATTCCTCACACAACATTTTCTTCTCCCTGCGAAATTTCATCCTTCTTGCTTTGGTCGTTCTCTTCCTCTCCCGGTTGTCCTCCATCTAATTCAACGAAATCAGGCAAAACTGGAATCTTTGGTTGTGAAGAATGTTTGTTACTTTCTTTTAGTTGTGTTAGATGTTTCTGTTGTTTTGTTAATTGTTTCTATTGTAGGCACTAATTCCGTAGTAGTTTTCAATTCAGGAGCTTTTTTTGGAATGAGAGTTTCACACCAAGTTTCCTCCCAATCGTATGTCTCTTCTGTTGAATTTCCAGTTAAATTGATGCTTAAGCCTTGCATCTACAAAATTTAAAATTCCGTATGATGACATGACTACAAGTAAACCGGAAGAAGTTAGTACTATAATTGAAGAAATTAATGAAGAGAAGGATAATGAAGAAGAGAAGGAAGAAATTAATTGGAAACTGGCGGAAAAGGAGGAGCGGAAGAAGAAAATTAAAGAAGATGAAGGAAGAGAAGAGGAAAATGAGAGTAAGAATGAAAAGCAAGATATGTCGAAGGATGAATTAATAAATAAAGTGTGAAGATTAAAAAAAGATTTAAAAAAATATTCTTTATAACGAAATAACTTTATAGAAAAAAAGAAACAATAAATATAAAAAATAATGTCAAAAAGTAATAAATTTATCAAAAAATTTTCTTAATTTCAAAATCAAATTCTTCCTCATGTACGTGTTTATTATAAATAGAAAACTTCAATTTTGGATTGTGTTTATTGGAAAGTTGATATTTCTTGGATTTTAAATTGTTGTTTTCAACTACAATTTTAATATTTTCTGCTCTTTCACTTAAAATAATAGGTCCTTGAACTTTAGATAATTTAATTTCCTTCGCCATTCTAGAAAGGTCTTTTGATGCTTCGATATGCTAAAAATTAATATAATTTATTTTTTAAAAAACGGATAAATATAGGTTATTAAATTTTGTTTTCGGCCTTATTAATTCTATATCAGGGCTCCGATCCGTGCTTATTTTGGAAGTACAGTACTTGCAAATTGACCTCCGTACTTCCAAAATTGAAAATGTACTGACATACCTAATAATTAGAGAGCTAAAAATTAGAGTTCTGATGCACATCCCGATCCCGGATCCCGGCTCGGGATCATCCAAAACCGGGATCGGGATTCACCTTTCGGGCTCGGGATAAGAAAAATCGGGATCGGGATTCGAAAAACCCGGGATAATCCCGCCCGATCCCGACCGGGATCCCGATCCCGGCCAACTCTACTAATAATGGAAGAATAAACATTTGGAATAAAAATTAGAAGTTTTAGCGAGAATAAATTTTTTAAATTGTATTTTTGTTTGGAAACTTATATTTGGAAAATTTTCCCCCCATGTATTTCCAAATTAAACTATGTATTTGTACTTACACTTAACATTTTCTCGATCGGAACCCTGTTATATACATACGAGTATTTTTAAACTACAATACCTCAATAATAATATCATTAAGCTCTAGAGAATGATTATAGCAACAACAAATTTTAGAAAATTTATCTCCTCCATTCGTTAACATTTTAAATAAAATATTAGTATTTCGCTCAAGATTAGTGTCCCCGAAGTAACGAACGGTAACTTGATTAGAAATAATATGATTCATTGCAAATTTTAAAAAATAATTATCATTATTTTTGTATATACTATATAAAATGGCATTTTGAGATTGAATTTGTAATGGTATTTTTGTTGTTGTTTCATTTTCACCAAATAATAATTCAATCATCTGTGGATTCAATATTATATCTAACTGAACAATTCCAAAGAATGATATAAAAAGTTGTTGAAGTAAATATCGAGCAATCTTCATTTCTTCAATAGTTTTTGGAAGGTTCGGTACTTTTAAATAGTGTGGTCCTAAATAAAATTTAATTATAAAATATAATTTTCAAATAAAAAGGAGGAAGGAGGAGGAATCTGTGTCCGTACTAGGGTTGGAGTTTTCGAGTCGGGCCGACGTTCGAGTCATTCTTTTCGGGCCTCATTTTTATCGAGATGGGCATCGAGTCTTTTTCGGGCCAAAATTCGATGCCCGACTCGATCTATCGGACCGGGCCGGATCGGGCCCCCAACCCTAGTCCTTACTCTTCCAGAATCCCTCGCTAAATATAAACTTTTACTTTTAATCCGCCGTATCTTTAAACCGTGAGTTTAATACCAATGTGTGACTAAAACTAACGCGTTATTAAGGAAATACTCGGTCATAACGACGTAAACCACAAAGTTTATTATTAAATTCCAAAATATATGATTAGAAAGATCACCTTGTCCCAATACATAAAAACAGTCCGCCAACCACCAAGTTGATGAATCATCATTTAAAAACATAGGAATTGATTTTCTAATTCCAATTTTCCACTAAAATTAGTTTATTTTGAAATAAAAATATTTATTTTGAACCTTATTCTCAAGTTCTTCACTCAATTGAAAATCATAAAGTTTGGGCTTTGGATTAAAAGATTTATATATATTCGATTCACAATTATGGATACGAAACTAAAAAAATGAAATGCTAATTAGATTAATTTATGGTACTTATGGATATACCACCCCCCCCATATTTTTAGTATCAGTTTTTTCAATTTGTGTTCCTTCCTTTCTCGATAGTATTCTATTTCCCTTTGGTCAACATATAAAGGATTGAAAAATTAATCTCTTCTTTAGAAGAAAGTACATATTGAAAAACTCTGTTACTCAAATAGGGAGGTGGTGGTATTAAGGATGGCGGTTCCTGGGAAATCTTCGGTTATCCGGTCTTTTTCGGTTCCGAATAACCGGAACCGCCAACCTTAGGTGGTATATCCATAAAGTACCCAATTTATAAATAATTACAATTATGAGGTTATTGAATTTCATTCGAGCCAATTCCTCCTCATATTCATTAATGAAATTTTTGAAGTAAACATTTGTTTGTTGAATATTTAATAATTGATTAAAATTTAAAAATTTAAATATATCAAGATGAACTTCTGGTGGAAGAAACTTCATTTTAGTTTAGAAAGAGTTTAAATTTTTATGCTTGTTGTAATTAGTATAAATTATCTTAAAAATTAAAAAAATTTCTGTTTTATTTATTGAAAATCGTTTGTAAATGCTTTTAATGGAAAAAATGAAGTCAAAAAAAATTTTTTAAAAGCAATTTCAACAAATTTTTGAAAACAAATAAATTTAATTTTTATTTTAGTCCTTCCCTACTATTTATATATTTTATTTTTTTGCTAATGGCTATCAACAAATTTAATCTTTTTTTGATTTTTTAATTTAACATTCAAACATATTGGTAGAGATGGTGAGAGAAGGGGTGAATAATTTGCCTACAATAATATAGGTATAAATATACTTTTTTATATGTGGGAAATGAATTTTAAAAACTAATAAAGGGGGCCGTACTATTTCAGGAAATGCGGTATGTAACTTTGAATTAATCGAAAATTAAAATTCTTAAAAAATTTTTCGACCGAAAAAAGTATCACCTGACTTGCGAACTATTGCCCAAAATTTTTCCGCACGCCTTCGACTCTGTGTTAAGGCAAAAGGTAGGTACTTCAAAATTTCTTGATTATTGCTGTTCCTTATTTAATTCTCTATCATTTAAACTTTATTTGATCCCTATATCTAAATATTGAATGAAGTTATGGCACAAATAAGCTGTGCAATTACTTTCTGGTCACCCTGTATTTTATTTATCTTAAATATAAAATTTTTAAACAATTTTTAAATTCAATTCCCACAAATTAAAAACGATAATTTACTTAGGCAAGTCAATGCGAATAGAAAAGTTCAAAAGAGTTAAATAAAGGTTTGTTAGGGAAATTTTAAAATACCTTAAGTCAAATTAGGTAATGAGGTCAATTAGGTAATGAGACTAATTTAGGGGGCCGCACTATATTTAAACCCTTTTTCAAAATTATCTGAATCATTTTTTGCTTAAATTTTTTTATAGTATCCACAATAGTATGCTCGGAAATTATCCCAAATCAAAAGCTTGTTCCAAACATAAAATTAGCAGACCTTAAAAATTATTTAAGACCCGTCTATAATGACATCTGTATCAAGCTTAAAGTTTTTTTAATTTCGATGTATTAAGAGAGTAGAAAAATTATGGTGCTGTCCATAATCAAGAACGATGGGGAACCTCTGATATCGATGGGGAACCTCTCAAGAACCTTTCATATCCTCATATCTCTCTTAAATATTTCATATTCTTCAACGTATAATATAAAATATTCTTTACATTACCAGTTTATCTTATCTTAGCCTCACTATAGTGTACCCCTTGGGGTAAAAATGGTATCCAGGAATGAAGGAAGTTCAGTAAGTACAATAGAGGTTCGGTAGCTGATGAATTAGGTCTGGACTATAAATGATGAATTAGGCCTGGGCCTGATTCATCTATCCGACAACCCTACTATAGAGAGGTCCGACTGTAGTTATTCATATATTTTTAATGATAGCGCAAATGTTCTCGGCGCAAAAGTCACGGAACCCTATAAACTACCTATTCGTTATTCACCTTGATTCCAACTAATCCTTTTAAATTCATCCATACTTAAATCACTCCAAATCCATAAATATCCTTCCAAATCCGATAAAATCCCCATTAATCCCCCGATATCCTCTTAAGCACTCCTATTTCTATACCAATAGATATTAAGATTCAATAAATTAATTAAATATTGCGAGGAATAATGACTATGATTAGAAAATCAAATTTTGTCTATTTTTATATTTTTTAAATGGGGGCCGTACTATTCTAGGGGGCCGTACTAATTTAGGGGGCCGTACTATTTTTCAACCCTCTTCCAAAGGGCCGTACTATTTCAGGGGGCCGTACTAATTTAGCAGGCCGTACTATTTTAGGAAATACGGTATTTTAATTTCAAGCAAATTACAAAAGTAATACTTTGGTTTAGATCAGGGGTTGGATAATTCTACTTTTATAAATAAGCTCTTATTTTATAACCATTTTAGATTTATTTATCAAAAATGCTTTGATATTTTAAAATTACAAAATTTTTCCTTAAAAATTTATTAACCCTGCTCCAAAGGGGAGTACTATTTAAGGGGGGAGTACTAATTTTCAACCATCCTTCATAATTTATCATAGGAAAATTTATTTCAAAATTCTAAATGTCTAAATCAATTAGAGTTCGTTGTTTGAAAAATGCCGGATTCGGATCCGGATTTAAAAAAAATTTTTTTAATATAAGTTCTCAAAGAAATATTCAAATTAGGGGATAAATTTGATAAATGGATAAGGTTGGTATCGTGGCGTTTGATGGTA